CACACACAAACAAACAAATGGTCTGCCAGGTATGGTAGAATGGTAGAAAGAGATGGGTATAAAGCAGAGCCAGAGAAAATGCCAAGAAACATCTGAGGGGGAATAATAGGGGAAAGGTTAAGGGAAGGCTTATTGGAGGAAATGACATTGGAGTCAGACCTTGAAAGAAGGGGGGGAAGTTCAATACTCGGGATAGAGGGGAATCTATTACAAATGGGTTGGGGCAGGAGGAGTGGGAATTTGCATGAACAAGGGTATGAAAAAGAGATGAGTTTTATGACATAATAGGGGACAAAAATAGGCGACAAAAAGTACAATGGAAAGATCAAAACCCTGTGGAGGGCCTTGATCCTCAGGATCAAGAACTTTAGCTTTATTTAATATACAATGAGGTATCACTGAAACTTTTTGAGAAGAGTGATATGAAAATCATGGTGGCATAATAGGAAGGTTACTTGGGAATTAGTGTGGAAAACAGAATGCAGAGGGGATTGACTCAAAACAGGAATACCATTTGTAAGACCATTAGAATTGTCCATTAGAATTAGCATAGAGTAACTAGGGCTTTATCCCATAGTATTGACCTCCAAGGAGCACACATCCTCCCTTCAGAGGTTGCTGTCCTCATATCTGACTTTTTATTCCTCGTTGACCTGCATTGCTGCATGACATGACCATCCCCAAGCCATCAGCAACAGGATTTCATTACTATGGAATTCTTCTCCAGTGCCTGCCCTATCTATCAACCTCCTTGGGGATGAGGGTCAAATTCTCTGGCAGATGGGCTGTTCGCTCTCCTGGTATGATTTCACTAATGGTTAGACTCTATCTTGGCATTCCTTCTACTCGTCCCATTGCCTACTGAATTTGCCACAGGTAAATGTATCTGATGATCTACATGAGAAGTAATGGAACTAGGATGGCTGTCATGGGAGTGAAGACAAGTTAGAGGCAAGAGCTAATGCACATGTAATGGCAACAGGACTTGACATCTGGTTGGAGGAAAGATGTGATGATGAAAAAAAGAGCAAAAGTAACTCTAAGGTTATAAGCCTAAGTAACTGGAAGGATCATGGTGCCATTTCTACAGAGGGCCAATTGACTTGAATCTTATTCTTGGGTTAAAGTCTGTAATTATTTTTTTTTATGGGATGATTCCATAGTCACAGACCATACTTTTAACTCAAGGGGAATCATAGGTTTACAAATATAATTGGACAAAATATTGGAGGTAAACAACCTATCAATAAATAAACATTTATTATGTACCTACTATATGTCAGGTGCTATACTTAGTTCTGGGGATGCAAAAAAATGTGAAAGATAGTCCCGGCCCTCAAGGAACTTACAGTCTAACAGGGGAGATAACATGCAAACAAATATACAATCTAGTTCTTCATTTTTAATCTAGCCTTCATTTTTAAAAGTGAGGGAACTGAGACCCAAAGTGACTTTTGTCTAAATCCTACATGTATGAGGCAACAAAGCTGGAAATCACATCCAAATCCTCCGATTCAGCATGGTACAATGAATGAGTATCAGCTCTGGAGTTAGAGAATCCACATTTAAATCCTGCTTGTGAAGCTTACCACTTGGGTGATCTTGAATAAATCTCTTAGCTTCCCTGATCCTAGATTTCCTTATTTGAAAAATAAGAGTTTTGGACAGAAAGTCTGTAATCTCTCTTCCAGCTCTAGACTGACAATTACTCTAAATATAGTGTTATTTCTTTTGAACCATGCTGAGAGTGCAAAAATACAGGGTGACATGGGATCACTTATAATCCTCAGCAGCATAATACATAGCCCTTGGTCCAGAGGAATTTGTAACCCCATTGGAAAGTCCATGAGATGAAAAACAGAGACCCAGTTATTAATAGTCCAGATTCAGTTATTATTCAGTCATTTTTTCAGTCATGTCCCACTCTTTGTTACCCCTTTGGGGTTTTCCTGGCAAAGATATTGGAGTGGTTTGCCATTTCCTTCTCCAGCTCATTTTATAGGTGGAGAAATTGAGGCAAATAGGGTTAAGTGACTTGCCCAGGGTCACATAGCTAATATGTATTTGAGGCTGGGTTTGAACTCAGGTCTTCCTGACTCCAGGCCCCGCACTTTATCTACTGAGCCATCTACCTGCCCCAGATAGATGAAAGCTAAAAACTTAAAACAAGCATACAAGTTGAATTCAAGATCATGAGGCTAGGTACCAGGGGCAGCTGGGTGGCATAATGGATAGAACACTGGGCCTAGAATCAGGAACACCTAAAGTCAAATATGGCCCCAGACACTAACCACACTACTTTATTTTTATCCCTATTACATTTCATCTTGCTATAGGGAATCCACATTAGAACTTAAATTGCCAAAGAGCTGAATGAGAAATTGAAAGCAAAGCTACTATGCTGAATTGGAATTTAAATTAAGAGAATTGTAACAAAATTTATCTTTAATTCTTTCAACTGAGAAACAAAGTGGTTGATCTTAAAGGCCCCCTTCTCTCTCTCTCTCTCTCTCTCTCTCTCTCTCTCTCTCTCTCTCCACCTGTTATTTTATTTATGTAGGAAACTCCTGGCATGGAATTTCCCTCTATTAATTTGCAGTGCAGCCAGTTCTCTCTAACTTGACAGTCTTAAAGAGTTATCTGGGTACACTGAGTGGTCAAATGACCTGCTTATTGTCACACAGCCAGTATATTGTCAGAGGCAGGGCTTGAACCAGGTCTTTCTGACTCTAAAAGCAGCTCTCTATTCCATATGCTATGCCATCTAACCAGAATCTCTTATAACTCTGAAAATTTATGACAATAACCAGAATGATACCTTATTATGGACGGGGAAGGAGAAAGGACAAAGACTGGAAATTTCCTTTTTCTGGACTAGTGGAACTTCTATGCCAGTCTAGATAAGAGAAAGTTGATGACATTCTTATATCCCTGGTAGAGTCTGACAACTTTCGCTCCTGGAGAAGTGGTAAGACATTCTTGATGAATTTTATGTCAAAGTGTCCTATCTGAGTTGCAAAATGTTCATGAGAATTTTAATGTTGGAAACTGTTTTTTGTGCCAAATTAAAGCCCACAACAAAATAAAATTATTTATTGAGTATCTGTTGATGGATACAGAACACTTTGAAATTTCTAAGAATTAATTGCTGCTAAGCAAATTATGGCCTATTAGAAATCAGCCTTATCAATGAAAATTGATAGAAATAATGCTTATTAAATGAATATTTATTCTATTAAAAGATACTCTGTTCATGAAATCTTTGTTATTTAGCCCCATGTTAACTTTCACAATTCAGAGAATCAACAGTAGTCAATATTTTTATATTTGATTCTACTTTGTGTCAATGAACAAGTTACCCCTCCCTCCCCCTCTTCCCTCGACATGCCAAGCTAGAATGCACTCCTTCTTCCCCTCTGTTTCCTGGCTTTCTGAAAGTACAGACCAGGTGCCACCTCACATCCCCAAACTTTTACTCATCCTCCCAGGCATTAGCATTCTCTCTCTCACGAAATTACTTTTATTATATTTACTTACTTGTATTCATATTGTATCCCCCCTTCCCACATTGAACATGAGCTTCTTGAAAACAAAGACTTCTATTTTTGTCTAATATAGGTCTTGACACACCATAAGTGCTTGATAACGTTAGTTGAATTTAATTTCCTGGATCAACTTTTAATTTCAAAATGTAGATATAGCACTAGGTACAATTTTTTTCTGCTTCAAGATATTAACAAATGTCAGCTGCTAAAGGCAAAAGGGAAGCCTCTGATACGATCTGGTAAAGACTAAAGGATGAGGATGCATTGATTCTATTTTAGCCCTCACAATAAATAATCTGACCACATCTACAAAGTGGATTGATGTCATAGGGTGGAAATTCCCAGTAGAGTATCCATGTATCTAGGCGTGAATGAGAACTCTGTGGCTCTGATTTGGTCCTATCTCATATTCTGTCATGGAATCTCCTTATGAAGACGTGGCTGAACAGAAATCTTATGCAGAACCATGGAGCATGTCAACTAGGTGATTTTTGAAGGGCCAAGCTATTTTTGAAAGATCAGAATGCTAAATTGCTTCTTTTTTTTCCAGAATAGAAATTCATATTTTTATGGTGCCTTAAGGTT